GATCATATAATAAAGCTCAGGTTGTAAACTGGACTGAATTGGCTCAGGGTCGGGTCCAGTGAAGGGCGTTGTGAGCACGGTGTTACACCCTTGGGTTCCATGACAGAGGAAAATTGTCGATCACATGAGATCTATTAACTGTTTAAGAATGATCCTGCAGTTAGTCACGGTGAAATATAGTATATGATTAAACAAACGTATTTAAAATGTAAGAAATTAAAGATACTTGTAAATAAAATAAAAGGCTTAGATTTTAAATTGTCATTGTAGGAAAGATATCGATTGTGGCTTCTGGGTTGTGAAAATGTAGACGATACGTTTCTCCGCAACGTTGATAATTACAAGACTACATTCATAGATATATAAGCAGCTAACTAAATAAATATATAAATAGTTTAATTAAAACTCTTTATTTAAAACATGTATTCACTGAATGTTCCGGTTGAGTGATTAACACTCCTGTTTCGTGTATGGAAGAGCCTTGCTTCGATATTTGGCTGGCTGTTTGAGTGATTAATTATGTTTCCTCAGTTCCTCAAGGCTTTTTTACATGAACATAGAACACGCTTGCTTCCATTCACATTCCTAAAATTTATCATGCACTAACTTGGCACTATAACAAATGAAACTGAAAAAGCGTTGTTACTGTACCGAGAAATAAATAAATAAATTTTTATACCGCCAAAATAAGGGAAGCTGGCCTCAATATGACGTACTTATGATACCTTTCTGCAGATGGCAGAATACGGCAGGAGGTCCGCATTTGAATGTTGGAAGTGACGTTCCTGGTGGTAGGAATAGGAAATAATTTTCCCTGACTGAAGTCTTTGATTAGAGCCGTTTTCGTTAGTACGAAATCTGAGATTGCAGTGTTCGATTTGCAAATCAAATTTAGGATGGGAAATTTGTTACGTTTGTCTACTTTTTTGTAATCATATTTGAAATTAAAAAAGGGAATGTAATTCTATTGAGTGGCTTGCCCAGAACATGAGCCGAAAGTAGGTCCATTTGGCAGTGGATAAATTGTGTATATATGACTGAAGCATGGCTTCTCATAAATCTGGTGGGCAGAGTGGTCGAAAGAAAGTTCAGGTATGATTAGGAATTGTTTGGAAGAAATTTGTGTAAGAACGTACACAAAAGTGCGTATGATATGCTATAAACACCTTGTGTGTGCATAATCGATTTAGCAATTTGTACTATGTGTAAAGAATAAAGTTGGGTGGTTATGTGTATTTTTCAAATAATGTAGTAGTTCCAGTGTTTTGTATTGTATTTTAGTAAAAATATGTTGCAAACAAATTTATTTTACTTGTAAGAAACCTATTCTCCATTTCCTAATGTTATAGTTTAGTAAGTCAGCAGTATATCATGGTTATCAATATGAAAAGTATGTGTTCATAGAATTGTTAATATTTTTATGGGACAGGTATCTTTTGTGATTCGAGATGAGGTGGAAAGAAGACACAGGGCTGGAGTTAACTCTTTGCAGTACGATGCCCATCTCAACAGACTCTATTCTGCTGGCAGAGACAGTATTATTCGCATTTGGAACTGTAAAAATATTAAGGAGCCATATACATTGTCCATGGAACATCACACAGATTGGGTCAATGACATTGTTCTTTGCTGTGGAGGGAAAAACTGTGAGTGGATCCACATATCAGAAACATTTCCAAAACACACCAGAACAAGAAGTTAATATTCAGAAGTTTATTTAAACTAATTCAGAGAAACTTTAATATTTGAATCTATTTCTGTTGTATTATATTCATTATATATTATTAAACTTGGCTGTAGTTATGAGGGGAATATGATAGGTCAAATTCATGGTTGTTATGTTGTAAACGTTGTTCCTTCAAGTTAATTCTTGTAATATCTGCAGTTAGAAATGGCTGTAATGCAGCACTTATGCATTTCCCCAACTAGTATTGTCTGTTTCTTTATTTCAGTAATATCTGCAAGCTCAGACACAACAGTGAAGGTATGGAATGCACACAAAGGTTTCTGTATGTCCACCCTGCGCACTCACAAGGATTATGTGAAAGCACTAGCTTATGCCAGGGACCGAGAACAAGTTGCTTCTGCTGGCCTAGACAGAGCCATCTTCTTGTGGGATGTTAACACCCTCACTGCTCTGACGGCAAGCAATAACACTGTAACTAGTGAGTACTGTCTGCACTGTACGTTATCAGCAAAGTTATCAAGATTCAGGTACATTCTAATGTAAGAAGGAGTACATTATGGAAGCCACGCGTCAGTACCCTAAGAGTAAGAAAATACAAAGGAAGTTGTTATGTATTAGTTTTCTTATGGCTGTAGAGGAGACAACTGGAAAGCTTAGTGTTGTGATATATACACATCAGTCATTATATTATATGTTGCCTGTACTAAGTAAATATAAGGTAAAATTTTGCAATCAAACAAGAGGTAATTGTCAGTTTCAATTCTAGTGGATAAGTAGTAAAAATGCAGTATGATTCATCAGTAAATCTCAGGTAGTTTGTGGTTATGTTTCCTAACAGATCTGCGTGTATGCTGTTACTGCCTTTCCTTCCACTACCAATATCTCTTCTGTCAGGCCATATGTCACCATAAAGCAATAGGACAGCATTAGTCATTGTTATGTTATGTGTAGACTACCCTGGGATTGTTGATATTAAATTGCTGATTGCGTGAATACTCAGGGCTGCAGAAATATGTTCTTCCCTAACCACATTAGAGTTAATTGATATTGGTTGTGAGTGTAATTAACCTGGGTTTACATATATATTAAAAGTTTAATATATTATTTCAAACAACTTTCCATTATTCTCCTTTTTGCTTGAAATTATAGTCAGAAGTCATAAGAAGACCTCATGCAACTAAATTGTAAAGTCTCAGTGTTAGAGTTACGTAAGGTGCAGGAGGAAAAGTGTATTTTGTCCCCTGATTTTAACATTTTAATGTTGACTTTTCAAATATCATCTATAAAGTATTGAAGCATGGTGTGAGATTATGGGTGAGTGGATTGTTAAGTTGCTAGTAGATTTAAGTAATATTTCTGGAGCCCTTTGTAGAATATAAAACTTAAGTAGATCCTTATTTTTATAATATTATAATGTTTCTTTTTCAGCATCATCCTTAAATGGAAATAAAGATTCTATCTACAGTTTAGCAATGAATCCGTCTGGTACAGCAATTGTAAGTGGAAGCACAGAGAAAGTTCTGAGGGTGTGGGATCCTCGGACATGTGCTAAGCTCATGAAACTCAAAGGTGTGATGTTATACATGCATTTCATCATAGTTATACAACATCGGACAGAAGCTAGGCTTGATGTACTGACTTTTTAAGTAATCATAATGAGACAAAGTGCATTTTGTTTATTTCTGCCCTAGATTGTCTGAACTTGGATTAGTGAGACACTGATGAATGGAATATCTCCAAGCATCTGAGCGTTAATATACTACTGTTGTTACGGGTTTCCAAATTACAGGTCATGTAGATAATGTGAAGGCACTGGTACTGAACCGTGATGGGACACAGTGCTTGTCTGGTAGCTCAGATGGAACCATCAAACTTTGGTCGCTTGGCCAGCAGCGTTGCATTACAACAATACGAGTCCATGATGAGGGTGTCTGGGCACTCTTGGTATGTTTGTGCTTAGTTACATCAGAAGTTTAACAATTTGTGTTATTTGAAGTACATAAGATATACTGCAGATGTTAAGGTCAACGTAGTATTCTCATTGTTAATTTTCTTCAACGTATGCTCTAGTTACGGATTTTTACATATCTCACAAATGGTCACTCCAAGTACGATTCAGAATTTTTGAAGGGTTGGTGTGCAGTGCTCAGTTACCAGTTTTATAGGGTGGTTGATTATTTGTTTATTTTACAATGTAACATCAACTACTGAGATTATGTAGCATTGACTAAGATTGCGCCTAGATAATTGTAAGAGATAGATAGGGGTGGATGCTACTATCTGATAATGGAAACAGATCCAGTTTCTAAAACTTTGTTTGGGAAAACTTATGGTGATGGACATTATCCAGGAACATTGTTTGGAAAAACTTATGGTGATGGACATTATCCAGAATAATTATCATGTTTATGACATACCACCATCAGTAACAATTAGACTTGGCATTAAAACCATTTTAAATTTTTACTTTACTATGAAACTTAACAATTTTTCAGACAACAGACAATTTCAGTCATGTGATCTCTGGCGGTCGGGACCGTAAGATCTTCATGACTGATCTGCGAATCCCAGAAAGGCGAGTATTGATATGTGAAGAGAGTGCACCCATTCTAAAGATGGTGATGACTCCTGACCAAGGGTCCCTCTGGGTTGCAACATCAGAATCTTGTATCAAGAACTGGGTTAGTTATAAATATTGTTATTAAGTAGATATCAGTCTGATGTGTTATTATATGAATCTTGTGTCCTGTGAGATCAATAGTAGAATAACAATAAGTAATTATATAAGTTCAAGAAGTGAAAGTTTAAATAAATATTGTATATTTGCTTATTCTCTAACATATAAACACTTGGGTAATGTGTCTTTATCTGCACCAGCCACTTTGAATCTTTGTAGTGTGGTCAGTGGATCTAAAACCCTGGACAGTATGTGAGATATGAGTTAGCGTTTCAGTTCCATCCCTACTTCCGGGAAACTCTCTTCTGCCTCTGCTAACCTATACATTCTCCTGCCAGTCATAATTCTGCATGTACATTGTTTGCAAAGTTAACATGATTGAGTGGCTGGTATGGGATACAGTGCATTTTCATTCTGTGTGCAGTGAGGAAAGAAATGATTTCAGCATAAGATCCAGTGTGAATACAGTATGAAAACTCAGCATACTGTAATAATACTGTTACTTTCTTATAGTACATGGGTTGGGGAGAGATTGCTTAAGCTGAAAACTTGAATGCAGTGCTTTTGCCTTTTTTAAAATCTTAAGTTAATTGGTCTTTGGTTAACGTTTCTGCTTTCAGACCTTGCCAAGTGTTCTTGTTTTATATTTTATCTATACTTATTTTGTTCTTACTATTCTTTAGAAATGTTATCTGTGATTATAATCTGTATTTTATATTCAAATAGACGAGTAATGCGTTCTGTGGAACATAACGTTTGTCCCCCAACAACAGCATTAATCCAGTGGCGTACTTGGATTACTGGCAAACATCCAAATCATATGGTGTTTGCTAATTGGTAGGTGTGAAATGGAAAGTAAAATATTTTGAGAACATGTATACCTACACAGGAATAATGTGATTATTTTCCATAATTTATTTTTAAGCCTTTTAATTTTGTAATCAGGAAGAACACAAAATCAAATTAGATGCCAATAGATTGAAGAAGTTTCACTGAATTGTTTGCTTGTAGGCAATACCTAAGAGGGACTCTCAACTTGGTGGTGATAGTGGAGACGAAGAAATCCTAAAACCCCTTAGTTTGAAGCCAGAGCTAGTAATCAAAGGAGGACCTGCAGTACGGCATTATCATATCCTTAATGATAAACGACATATTCTCACCAAAGACACGGAGAATAATGTTATGGTTTATGATGTACTCAAGGTAGGTAAGTTAAAGGTGTCTGTCCTTGTTTGTTTATTAATGTGCTGTACTTCTTTTATGGATATTTACCAAGTATTGGAAGTACCTATCTATATAAAAGACAAGTGTTGGATGGTGATCATATTTTTAAATTGCCAAAATACTTGAACATACATTTCAAACATAATTTTCTTTATTCTCTACTGATTTCAGTTGTTTATGAAAATGAGTTTTCACAGAACAGCATTTACTCAAAGGACATTGATTTTGTATTACAAAGTGATGGATACATACAATTTATAGCCTACAATTTTTTTTTGGGGGGGGGTACTACATATTTTCCAGTTATTGATAGGTAATTTTCTATTTGGCACATATAAAGAAAATCAACATGTGCTGTGTAATGCATTAATGGTGACTATGAAATATTTGTTTGTTGATGTGTTTACTTTCAGGCTTGTAAACTTGATGATCTGGGTCAAGCTGACTTTGAAGAAGAAGTGAAGAAAAGGTTTAAGATGGTGTATGTTCCAAATTGGTTCAATGTTGATTTGAAAACAGGGGTGAGTACAATTTCTCATTTGTAATTATCCTGTTATTCAACACTATCTAACTTGTTGTAGTGGAGCAGGGTGTTAATTTGTCTAGTTTTTGTTTGTTGATCTGTTGAAGTGAATTGATAAATAAATGTGTTTGCAACAAATTAAATTTATGGAAGAAAGTAAGTTAGCGTAGTTTATAAATGAATATTTTTTCAAGACCTGGGTTACTGAAGGTGAGAATTCAATTTATGTTATAAATGTTTTACAGGATTTTGATGAATGAATTAATGTTCTGCAACACAGATTCATGCGGTTACTTCTGATGGTTGTTTGCTATAGATGCTGACCATTCACCTGGGTCAAGATGAGAACGATTGCTTCTCTGCATGGGTATCTGCCAGAGAAGCTGGTTTAACTCCAAATGACTCTGTAGACCAGAAAGGTATGCAATCTATATCATTTCTTGATTTTTTATTGTTTCTCTGCTGTTTCCTTCTGGTATAGTTACCATATTTTGTTACTTTTCATCCAGTAGCAATCATTTAATTTGTTTTTATCAGGTTACTGTAATTTCATCTTAGTTCCTTACCAGGACCCTTTTATTTGAAGTTGTGGTATCTGGTGCCATTGGGCTATGAAGATTTAATGTTACACTTGGTATATTGACATTTATATAACAACAAGGGCATAACTCACTGCAGCACTGTTCTAACGTTTTAAAATATGTGAATCTAAGATTTTATAAGTGAAGAAATTGGTAATATTTTTCTTTCTCCCCTCACCCCTCATTCCTTTTATTATTTTTGTGTTCCTTTAGTATACTGCCTCATATAAATGGCCTTAGAAGGCTGTGGTAGCCAGTTGTACAACTGCAGATGTAGTATGAATGAATAGGTTACATTGGTCATTAATGATTCTTGAGGACCATTGTGCATATGTTTTAAACTCCTGAAATGGTCATCAGTATGTGTCCACTTTATAAGCAATTGTTTGGTACTTAACTTATGCACAGGATTACTTTGTTACAGTGAACTATGGCAATTTGCTGCTGCAAGCCTTGTTAGAACACTGGTGGAGACCTATTCAGTTGGATGAAGATACTGAATGTCAGGGAGACCAACAGGGTACAGGACAGACACGAGGGGGCAATGAATACTTCTCTGTACCTGGTCACACGCCAGTAATATTTAGGTGTATTCTCTGTTCCAACAAATTATATGTAAATTACTTATTCACTGTGCCAAGTATTTTGTATCTATTTAGGACACTTGGTTTGTATTATTTTGGGAGGCCCTGGGTTTGAACCAAGGCTTGGTGGTCAGTAATTTAGACTGATTTTTCTTACTCTATCTGGAAATGAAGGATAGTACTGTAAGATAAAAAATGGCTTCTTCTCTTTTATAAATTATTCAGTTACTAACGTGCTGTTTCTTGCAGAATGACATCAGACAGATTGAGGCTGTTGTCACACTAATTTTCAGCTTGGATACTGTGGTTGTTGCTCATACTGGACAAGTTGAGAAATGTGAAGATTTCATATTTGAAGAACTTACAATAAGTAGTCAAATAGAAATGTAAAGACCATTCCAATGAGCATGCATTCTCATGATCTTTATAATAGTTTGAGTTGAATTTGTATTGCATTATTATGACTTATTCCACATCCTATTGTCATCAGATGGTAAGATGATTGTAAATGATGAATTTAAAAAAAAAAGATGTGGAAAGAAACTTTTATGCCACCATCTCAGCAATTATTTTGAAGGATTGAGGAATACTGCAAAAATCCTGTCAGGATACCTAGGTCAAGGTTTGAGCCTGGGATCCCCCAAATATGAAGCAGGATTACTAATTACTACACTGCAACATTCAGCATATTGAATGAGCAAAGAATGGAGAAATTTATTTGCTGTAATACTGTGATATGTATACATATAGTTTTGGTACTTTTTGTTATTTGTATAAATATCCAGATTCTCTGTTTACAGTGAAGTGGGAGGCAGAACATTATATCGTTTGCTTGTAAGGGACGCTGGTGGTGAGACTGAAGGTGTTCTTCTCAATGAGACTGTGCCTCCATGGGTAGTGGATATTGTTGTAGAGAAAAACCTGCCCAAGTTTATAAAAATACCCTTCTATTTACAACCACATGTAACATCAGGTGTTAAAAGTCTTAAGAAGTGAGTAATTTGATGGTAAAATACAGAGAAAGAGATGTTCCTCTTTTCTCTGAGTCCACTGTTTCATATAACTTCCCTCATATAGTCTCTTCATTTTCTTGTTTCCATAATAGCCATATATTCACTGACTCCATTTTAATGCTTACAAAATAACCCTGTTGTCATCTATGCATAACACATGTTCATCCTTAATTTGATCAATTGTTTGTTCAGTGTTTCTTGCTGTCTCAGTTTTATATCCTTTGTTTGCTTCCTGACACTCCATATGAACTTCATTTCTGCTGTTTGGTCACTATTTGATACATAAAATGTTGTTGGAACGTTTTAGTTGCTTGTGTCTGGAAGCACTGAAAATTGAAGAATTTAGATAGAAATTTTTTATACCTAGCATTATGTGTTAACATAATTTTGTATAATTTTATTTTAATATTTCCAAACACAATTTGAGATTAAATGAAATACATATTTTTTGTAATAATGCTATTCAAAAGGTTATGTATACCGATAATGGTGCTGATGGTGAGTAAAGAATAGAATAGTGGAATGAATGGTATGAAGAATGAAATGACTTTAAACAAATATATCTTAGCTTAGTTCCTTCCAAGAGCATATAACATAAATTTTTAGAATGATTTTATAAGCAAAGTCATTATATATACTATTTGAGTTAATATGTTTTCCATTTAGCTGTCCAAAATGTTAAGATGGAAAAACCTGGTAAGCCAACAACTCCCTGCTGTTGTGGAATCGGAAGACTCGTCACTGCAATGGCAGTCTGCCTGCCACTGGTGCCTATTCCTCTGTCTTCCAAAGGATATTTTGTCTTGTTTTTCTCCATGCATGCACATGTCTAGCCCATTCCCTGGTTTGCTAATGTGAGTTCAGGGTATGGAATGAACATAAATGTTTTAAGGCTGCAGAATTCAGAAGCCAAGGAAACTAAATCATACTGAACTGGAATTTGTATCTACACTGAAGTTGTTGCTGAATGTGTGCAAGATATGTTTGTTTAAAACACTAGAGTGGAGTGATAGATCCTTACGATTCATACAAAAGTAGATCGGAAGTGTGTTAATGTGTTTTATAGTATGATTTGATCAAATGCTTATCATATAGTTTTCCTGCAGTTCAGTACTTCTTTTTAATTTCTTGCAAACACATTCATGCATGTACTCCCAAAATTTCCTATTTGCTAATGAATTATGTTATAGGATCAGGTACTTAAAATTGAAAAAGAAAATTATGTTCTATGTATGGGTTTTCATTTCAGGTTAAGTAAAATGTATGTTGATTTCAAATATACACACACACCTGTGTGTCTGTGTGCGTGCATGTGCACATTGAAGTTGGTGGTGCACATGTTTTTAGGGACTTGAGGTTGGCCTCTGTGGTCTTCCTTTTAGTTTTGTTTATGGCAACAAATTAAATGTTTTTCAGGGACCGTTTGATTGCCAATGACTTCATCCAGGTCCGAAAGGTTGCCGAGCATGTGTATGAGAAGGTGTTGGGGGCAGGTTCAGAATCTGGATCTGTAGCAGGGCCAAATTCTCCTGGAACAGAACGCACTGATCCTGAACGCCAAGAAACTGGTTCAATAGCTGAAGATAGGGTTGAACTCCTTTGTAATGACCAGGTATAGTTCACATCCATCAAACCTGCTAATTTGGAATGTTTTCAGTTTCTCTAAAAATATGGATCAGCAAGGTTATGGTAGCTTTTAAAATTAACCACTTGTCTTGTTATCCTGAACTGAAGTTTGAGATTTTGCCTTAAATATATTATCGTGAGTTAAATCCTGGCAATTAGAATTTTGTTACTACAAATTATTATCTCAAATTATTTCCTTCCTACCAGTATTTTGAGCTGCTTCTCATCATATGGAACCGGTGATAGTTCACTGACACACTATCCCTGGTGGATCTCATTTGTACATCTTTATTTATATTTGAATATTATATCTTCATTTAGCAGGGGTTTTTTTGCAAGCAGTTGTGATGACAGATGTAACATGCATACTATTTTCTGATTAGCTTAGTGTGACGTATAAACGTTTACAGGAACAAACCTTTTTTGTGTTGAACTATAATACAGTTTATTTCATATGTCATTGAAGGAATAAAATTTATGACATTTTTAAATAAATGTGAAAACATCTTTATGGCAACTGAAGGCAAGCTCCTGGACTGTTGGAAGAAATGGGATTTGAACATAAAGCTGAAAAATGGTGGCCGTTTATTGATTTATCAAAAGTAAGTTAATGGGGAATTTTGTTGTATAATGTTAAGAAAAAAGCCTTAAATACCTACAGTCCATTGAAGGAAACTTTCAAGGGCATGTTCCATGTATGAATGGAATCAGATGAACACATCATTGGCATTAATGTGGTGTTTTTAAGGTTGTTACACCTTGGATTTATGGGTGGATTTACCAGGTGTTTCTGGTTCATCTGCATATGAGATAGTAGAGCAATAGAACCTCTATGTTGTTGAGGTCTGGTAAGTGACCAAAGGGTTTGTTCCTGGGATAAGGAATGTTATGCCATTAGTGGCTCCTTAGTTGGTACTGCTTCTTCCTTTGTATATAAAGCTGGCATTTGGGTACATAATTATGGTAACAGAATAACTTTTACTTTTGGTAGGTTTTGGATTACAATATGGATTTGCGGACAGTAAGACATTTTATCTGGAAGTCTTCGGCTGACCTGACATTGTATTACCGGCCTCTGAAATAGGACTGAATTTTTCAGGAGTAACCTGACTCACTGGTAAGAAAGGTATTGACCAGCGTATAAAACTGAGTGGTGTTATTGTCAGCGTATGCATTGTTGTCCTGGTTAGGAGAAAGCAAGGCTGTGTTGAGAAATGATATTGAAAGGAAAATACTTGGTATGCTTTGAATAAAATAAGGGAAGATAAGCAAGTTGAAAGGATTATAGAAGTAAGTGTAGGATATAGTGTAATGGCAGGTTTCATTTTATAGGGACAGATTAAATGCTTTTAATGGAAATAGTAGATGCCACTGTAAGAAATTAATTTTGAATAAATTAATGTGTTATGTAATTTATATTTATAACCAGTTTTGTGTCTAAGTCGGAAAGTGATTTAGATTAAGAAGACATTGCACAAGGTGCTTCCAGCAGGGTGTAAAGAGTTCCAGGTAAATTGATTTCCCATGGAAATCTTAAACTGTGGCATCATGGCACTGTATTCACATGGACAGCTTTGAGCCTCGTGACTTCTATAGTGTGCAATAGTACTCAAATAGTGCTTCCTTTCATATGAATAACTTCAAATTGTGTGTGAGTGGAGGAGCATGTTCAGATGAATGAAATCAGTCTAGTGTTGTGTTCAAGTGTTGAAAATGGAGAAGATCATTCATTTATTAATCATTTATTACAATAAAATATGTTGGAAACAATGGTGACAAGACACAAGCATAAGACCCAGTTTAATCTGAAGAAATGTTGGCAATTATTTTGAGCTATGTGAAAATTAAATAAACATAATTTTATTAAACCCATAGCTTTATTGTGTTAGCAAAAACATGACATTTTACATATGATCTAATATAGATAGTAGTTAAAAATCCTGATCACTGTTCCTGATGCTGCACTAATGTTGGATTATGGTGAGTTTGAGGCCTGCACTAGAAGTAGAAGGTATGAAAAAGATTGGGAAGCAGAATGTGTGGGAAATTGGGATGTTTTTAAATTGCAAGCTGGTAAGCTGCAGGAATAGGATAATTATGCCCATTTGTCATTGGTGTTTTCTTCTGGAGTGGCAAAATTGGTGGTGTTCCTCAAACCCATCATCAGGCCATAAGCACCTCTGTTGTGTAACATCTCCGAAGACATTTATCTTTAGTTGTAAGCATGTCAAGAGTTTTAAAAATAGTGGGCATTGGATCTGTGCACTACAATTATAAAAATATATTTGATTGTTTTTCTACTTTTTTTCCCTTCTCCATTTATTCCTGTAGTAGATTCCAGTTATTTTGTTTTATGTTCACACTCATTCATATGGAAAACTTTCAGGCTCCAAGATTTTAAGGAAGTTGGCTCTGAGGGAGCAAATGGAAAACAAATCACTTGAGTTAATGCAAGCTGAATCCTTGCCTGGGATGATTGCGCCTTTTCCTCAGCGTGTTTGTTGGAGATGGAGCATTTTGTGTCTCAGAAAATTTACTTTGGCCATATATAACAAGACTCTTGGTGATTGAAAAGAGGACCTTCGACTGTTCGGCTTTAAGAGCTTGTCAGTCTGTAGAATATATTACATTTGATATTTTATCAAACAACTGGTGAATATTTCATACAACTATTGATATTATTATTGAAATTACTGCTGAAATTGTAAATGCCTGTCATGTCGTATGTTAGTTTTGTTTATTAGAGAGATGGTTATAATTTTGAAGTTGAAGAAAATGTACTGGGCTGAAAATCAATTACAGAATGTCAGGACTTGTTATGTAAATGGTGGAATGCTGAGGAGTGTAATTAAAGAAACACTACTATGTGTTTTGTAATGGCAGAGATAATATATAATGTGCAAAATAACATGTGTAAAGGCTCCTTTTGATCTGTTCTGTATAATTGTTGTGTTCTTTAAAGTCATTTTTATCATTCAAGTTGATCCTACAGAATTGGCAAATAAAATCAAAACGTTTATTAAATTAACCCCTTGTGTATTAATATGCCTGATTACTGAAAGCTAAGATGAGAAGTGAAGATGTAAGAAGAAGAAAAACAATGAATGATGGAAGAAATACTAGAATACCGAAAGAAATGTTACAATCATGTAGAGAGGATGCCTCCTGCCATGGCAAATATATTTCTATTAACCTATTAGAAAACGGGACACTGGGCGTAACACCAAGTGGTAATAAGGTGAACGGCTGTGAGATGGGCAGGAGTGTTCGTTTCGTTGATCGGAGACCGTACGAGTTACGGTATTTGTAGCTCCGTATATTTGTCCGCTAGGGACATTTTATTTTAAGGTTAGGTAACAATCATTTGTTTGCCGTGGTCCGTGATGCTGCCAATTTTAGTTAACATTGATATTAAAAATCGCTGGTTTTAACTTACACAGTATTCTCGAGAGCTGTAATGGCACACGATATACCGTACACATTTTGTTTAACTTGCAGTAATGTAAAATATACTGATATATAAATTATAACTAAATTAGGAAGTTATGTTATCAGTGCTGTACAGTAGACAGAATTTGAGAAGCTCTTTTTAACCCAAAGTTTATATTCAAGGGAGGAATTTATTAATGTTATATTTTGATTGGTAGAAAGGACAGTCAGCAGCACTTCATTACGGTAAGTCCTAAAATGTTTACTTCCAATTCAAGCATTTGGCATATTTCTTTCCCACATTCCTGTTAAGGAATTATCATAGGCCTAAGTCGAGGATGTTGAACATGCCACAGCAAATTTACAGTACTTGTTTCTAATATAAATTACACAGTTATGAGTCAACTGCAATATTACAACAAAAATAATTACACAAGAAACATAACCAATATTTCTTACATGAATTTATAGTAGCTGAGAATTTTTGGTTGATGTAAATTCTAGTATGGAATGGAAGGACTGAGATAGGAGACACTATTTTAGTGCTAGCTTAATGTGAGTTTATTGACTTTAATCCATTTTTTCAAGGTAGCAAAGACAGACATGTAAATTTGGAAAGTCAGTTTCTGGATGTGAAATAATAATATTAGTATTGTCTGCAAAAAGTATGGGTTTATATTGATAATGGTTAGCAGTAAATCACTAATATGTGTGAGGAAGAAGCAGAGGACCATGTATTGAACCTTGAGTAACTCCGTGCTTTGTAATGCCCTAGTTTGAATAGATGCTATTATTTGAATGTAGTGATTTTATTTCTACTTGTTGCCTTCTTTCATGAAGGTACAATTTGAACCACTGACCATTTATATTTAAAATTCCATGAAAAATGTAGTTTTGACAGTAGTAATTCATGATTTACCAAATCATACATTTTAGAAAGGTAAGGTATTCCACCAACATGCATTTTATTATGAAGAGCTCATAAGATTTCACATGCAAAATTAAAAGGGGTTTTATCAGTTGAGAGACTTTTTCTAAAACCAAATTCTTCACTTGCAAGAAACTTTTTTGAGTTTAAAAAGTCACCTACTCTCTTAAATATGACTTTCTCAAATATTATTAGAGTAGCTATTAGTAATGAAATTGGTCTGTAGATATACACAATTTTTCACCATTAATATTTAAGTCATTCTGGATAAACTCATACTGCCATTGCTTGATTGCAAGGATAACTTAAAGGAACACTAATGTAATCTACACAGTTTCTGAGTAAAGTTGTAATTTTCTTATAACCATGTGAATTTTTTTATTTGATAGCATTTAGTGTACTTTCCATTTCATTTACTATTGTGGGTATAAGATTTATGGTTTTGAGGATTGCTTGAGTAAGGTACTTTGTTGTGCTTTCTGTTGTTATGGTTCTGGTGTCATTGTTCATTCTTTCTGTAATTGTTAAGAAGTAAGTATTAAAATGATTTTCTAAGAGTTTGGGATTTTTTATTGAATTTCATTTATCTTTATTAATACTTTTTCTGTAAAACATTCCCCTGTTTCCTTTTTCACTATTTTCCAGATTGCTTTTATTTTATTTGACTCTACTGTTTGTTTATTGTAATGCATGTATTTAGCCTCTTTAATAACTTGAGTAAGTATCTTGCAATATTTCCTGTAGTGAATTTTTATTACTTGGTTGTTTATAGATTGACAAGTTAGGTAAAGATCTTATTTATGTTTGCAAGATGTTTGATACCTTCAGTAATCCACTAATCCATTATTTCCAGATATCCTTTTCACTGTTTTGGTGAGGAAACTTGCATCACAGTTTTTAAGAAAATATTTAGAAATGTGTTGAATTTTGAATCTACTTTGTGTAGAAATAACTGTAAAGCCAGTATAAATAATTGCGTTGTAATTTGTGGAACAGCACTGTGTTTTAGATGATGGCCACACTCACAAAAGAACAGAAAGAGATAATTGAAACAAAGCGGCAGGTCGCATTGCAAAGAAGGAATGAAAGACAGAGACTTCAAAGCCAACACTCATCTTGTACCAATACAAATAGTTCATCAAGTAAATCTTTAAATGCAAGAGGGGGGCTTCCAGCTTCACATAGTCAGCAAGTATCATCAAATACGTCTTGTATAAAAGACAATTCCTTTGGTGTAAAGCCTTCTTCAAAACAAAAACATGACTTCAGGCAGTTTGTTCATCACAAGAATACTTCACTTTCTACCGGAGAAGTTGTCACTGGAAACTGCCAACTTATATCTAAAGAGAGGTTTACTGTGACTGTGCCATACCATGAACAATTGATAGACATATTCAACTCTATTGACAGCAGAAATTATGGTAGGTTGCACTTATGTTTAATATTTTGCAGAGAGCTAGTAAGATGATGTGTAGTTTTAGCATATTTAAGTTTATTTCTACAGATTGGCTGAAAAGTCATTGGCCAAGTGTTAGTAGGCTGTAAGGAAGGGAGTGTACAGAAGTGAATTTTCTGCAGTATATACATATGGAGCATGCTGATATTTCCTGAACACAATGTTAGATCTTAACATGTATTTAGGAGTTATGAAGGTTGTGTTCTATTAAGAAGTATTTCAAAGCAAAGATTTGTTTATGTTTTATAGAAATTGGTTTCACTGTATTGTATATGCAGTTTAGAATATTGCTTTATGGTTCATTTTGAGCAAACTGTTGTGATTGCAGGCCTTCCGTTAGTGGGTGAGATTTCAGGTTCTTGCATTAGTGAGTATGAAGATGACCGTCTTCTGGGATGTTACACCATGTAGTCTGGTAAATTTACTTACATTTCAGAGGTGCCTTCCCTGATGATGGAGTTAACAAGCACCTCTGAAATGTCAGCAAATATTTGCCAGGCTACACTGTTTAACATTTTCAGAAGACAGTCATCAAGCAGTTTGTTTGATATGAGGAAGTTTGTTAATTGAACCATGAAATGTGACCATACTTTTAACAGTTTGTGTATTTTCTATTCAGCATTTTGTGTTCATAGCACATCCTTTGACTAATTTGGTTCCAATCTTCAGTCTGCATAAACTGGCCCTTGTGCAGAAAGAATTGTCGTTGTTTGTGTTAGTATTGTGTTCTTTGTATACACGTATTTCAGAACTCTATTTATTCTGTAGATCCAGCAGAAAAAACATGGAATTTTACCCTTGAAGATTATAATATTTTTATGAGGAAACTGCAGTGCTTGAAAGGGGCTGTGTCTGTAACTGGTCTACCAGATTATGTCTTAAAGGTAACAAGAAATCTCCAAGAACTTTTGTTTTGGTCGACTAGAAAATTTGAATCATCTTAAATATAAAACTTCTATTTTCTTTGGCCATCAAGACAACTCTGAAGCTATGGCAGCTAGAAGCTGGAAAATGTGGAAAGTTATATTTTTGAAAGGTCACAGTAAGCCAAGAAGGCAGTTTTATTTAAAAATCCGAGGAAGCTTTGTTAACTAATATATAGGTGTGGGAATGTGCATTAGTTTCTCTTTTCAACAGAGAAAGATGATAAGATAACTACTTGGGAATTCAGTGTGTGGGATTGAGGAAACTGATGAGAGTTGGATTGAACTGGCTTAGTATATGATTGAGTGGTAGACATTTATTACAGTGGATTAGTTATTAAGTTTGAATATTGATTTGTGTTGGATGAAATAGTCTTCACCAATGACACTGTGAGCAGCAATATAAAAGCAAAATTTTCCCACATTTTTAATAATTACAGTAAATGTTCAATTTAATGGACTAATGGTCTGGTAATGCTGATTGTTGAATTGTACAATTGTTACTTATGATGCCAGTAATGCACCCATAAACCATACTTTCCATTAAACAGATTAGGAATATGAAGTGGACACCTACAGTGACACAAGTTTTATTAAAACACTATAGTGTAAAGGGCTAATTAAGCTCAAAACATTTAATTGTCAGTTTAAATTTTCGGTTGTAACAGAATTTGTCCGTTGAAACTGAAAGTGTCGACTAATGCCTCATGTCTAGAAATAAACTGGAAATACAATACATTGCCAATTAAATCCAAAATTAATTAAATTGGGGATTTTCTATATGAGTAAAATCAAGAGTTAGGGATTTAACGTGGTTGCAATCCTACGTATTGTGTTTAATAAGGTGACATGGAAGATGAAGTTTGATATATGCATTTGATTATGAGTGACATTTTTCTGTCTTCCCACAGACATTCCGTAAGTCTTCACATGAACCAGAAAATTTTAAAGATGTGGATTTATCAAGAATTGATGTGACATTGCTGAATTCTTTGATGCCTTTCCAGAGAGAAGGAATATGGTATTTTTTTAATTCTTTAAGAAGGATGCTGATATAAATAATATTTAACTTCCAGACTTAATCCCCCCTTCAAATAAAATATTTATATTCTCAATGTAATTGTCAGTCTTGTTATGAAATTGTCAATCATGTTATGAATCAACACACAAATTATGAAACAAACAAATGTTTTTTTGAATATTATAAGTCCATCCACTGGTACTGTTTTAAGAAACAGCCTATCTGGAATCTGGCATGCTTATGGTGCATAGGATACCAGGTGGCCATATGCATGCTTAAGTGTACCATCATCACTGCCATTGCTCAGAAAATACTTAAGAAGTCTATATTGTTACCACCATTTTTACATTTTGACTATCTAAAAATTTTCCCTCTCTTGTGGAGGGTTAAAATATTGGCTAAAATGAGGCAGTTTGTAAATATATACAGTATTTTGTTATTCACTTGTAGTTTGTGCATTGAACATAATTTGTTGTAGCTTTTAGATAGTGAATTGAGAATAATTAAGGAAAAGTGTTCATGCTTTGTTTTATGGCGCCTTTGTATAATTTATTTGGTGATAGTAAGGAGAATACAAAAATCCTCAGTCAGGATAGTTGTTTCCTGATCAATATGCAAACTCAGGAAACCCCCCAAGTACAATGCAGAAGTACAAACAACTGTTCTTAATTGTTTATAACAGGCTTTGTTTTTTTAAATTTACACTCATGTTAATATGAAATTTGCATCAAAGAGATGTTACTTTTAATTTTTTTTAAATTTTAAAAAAATTGTGATTACAGTTTTGGTATTTCAAAAAATGGCCGTTTCCTTCTGGCAGATGACATGGGGCTTGGAAAGACCATTCAGTCTTTAGGTGTTGCACACTATTACAAAGATGATTGGCCCCTCTTGATAGTTACACCATCTTCAGTCAGGTAAGGATGATCCTGTACTAGTTAGATAATAATATTGGCTTTAAAATTGCTATTCTGTGAACATGCTGAGAGTGGGACGAGCAGTTGCTCATTCTAAACAATTCAGTCCTTTCTATAGCTTCAGATCTTACTACGAATGTTTAGAAATGTGGCAAAAACATCATTAGAAGATACTTCTGGTTGCATTAGTGGTGGGTCAAGCTAGTTCTTTGGTCAGAGATAGTTCACTCAGGCTCACTCCAGTAAATAAATTGTTTACAGCCACTTTATAGTTCCTCAGATCCATAGTTCCACAACTCATCTCCACATATGCAGTGTATAATATACACCTTGGCATAATACTGCTTTGGCAAACCATCTAATGTTTAAGAACTGGCTGAATATTAAGAACTGTGGAATTTTGAAGTTTTGAGAAATATTAATAGTAGTGTTTATTATCATTTGATAAAAACCTTTTTTTTGGGGGGGGGGGTAATTAGTCAGCAAGCTCTTAAGTTATATCCAGAGTTAACTATTTACTAGTATAGAAATTTGACAGTAAATAATTTTGTTCATTCAAAACCTTTATCTCTTATTTCTCAGTATTAATTATTAAGTGAAATAAATCACAAACAAATGCATATCAGTAAACATTATGATAAAAAACAACTAAATTGGATGGACTTACATTGATTTAATTCCACTTTTGTGCTTTGTATTTTTTGATCCAGATCCACTTGTCCAAGATATGTGCAGGTGTGTGGGTGAATGAGAAATGTTACAAGTTTTCATTTGACAGGTACCTGTGGGCAGATGCCATCATGACATGGCTGCCCAGTGTGCCATATCATAATGTGATGGTCATGACATCGAGCACTGACTATGTAAAGGAAGCCCAAATTCTTATAACTTCATATGATCTGATGACTCGACAACAGAGAGAGTTGAAGGAGATGGATTTTGGAGTGTGCATAATGGTAATTAGATTATGAAAGGGTGCCACCACATTGCTACAGCAGTGTTTCTTATCAAATGGTGTCATATTGAGTATTTTGTATGTGAATGAGTGAGCCATGAGTCCTGCCTCATTTTTAGTCATCAGTGTCTATATTCTGTATTAATACATCTTTTCTTTGAAGCATCTGAATGCTCTTGCTGCAGAACTTAATGCCATAGGCCATGGAAGAATATTCGTTCACTTTCATTAAAATTGCATAACATTTAACTGGGCAGCACAATGTAGCATTAACATTCTAGACTTGTATTTGGGAGCTAACTGGTTTGTTTTTAAGCTGGGTTTCTGGCTACCATGACTGAGGATGGTTGTAGTTTTGTCAGTCTTTCTAGGTGAATGTCAAAGTATATCTGCGTGGGTTGTCTGAATCTGCATCATTAGCTCACTTTGTGAACTGACAAAGAAAGAGTTGACATAATTTCTAGTCTGATTTTCAAAATGATAATTCTCTTTTTGGACACTTTTCTGTCTGCATGAATGTCCCTGCCTAGTGAATTTTGATTGGATAGTGTACTTTCCATGAAATGTGGGAAGGTCATGGCACTGGCTGCTGCCCCAATGTATTTCTTTTTAAGTCCTCAGTGTTCAAACAAGGCAATTGTGTAAGTTTTCAAGTAGGAAATAACACTAGCACCATCCAATATAGGTTTATTTCTTGATTTACCTGTCAGTGCCTTGTCGACTTCATATGTCATATCATTTTTGCCCAGTAAGAAGGGCTTAAGTCAATTAGAGCACCAAAGATAATATGATTGAAAAATTTTGTTGGTGAATTTGCCAGCTTAATGTTTTTATGAATCTTTGAGGTTATGTTACATAATACTCATATTTGAATACTTTTGGGTTTGAATCTTTGGCTTGGAAACTAGTGCAGATACTGAGGTAGTAGGCCTATCTTAACGTGGGTCATGATCACTTGTAAGTTCCTCTTAATTCTTATTTTATAACTGTCCTTAGATTATATGACCTCTGCACTTGATAAAGCTTGATTAAACCAAATAATGTGCTGTGAAATTGGTGGGATTTGGTCATACCTGTTGTAGGCTATTTTAACTTACTATACTGGCATTTACATGTAGAGACTGGGGAATACCACAGAGCCTTTGTCAGAATAGCAAGTGCTGTGGCTGAATTTCTAGTAGGTTACCTGAATATAAGTCTGCTGCATTCTTGCTTTAGCTAACCTGTTCAGTGCAAACAGTATAGACATAGAGGACTAAGTAGGCATGTTTGTTAGCACACTTAGTAAGTAGTTGGTCTAATGTTGATCATTCTTGTTGCTTCCTTCCATTTTTTCTTTTAAAATCATAGTTCTGTGTGTACATTGATACTGACTTGAAAATTGTTTTTTACATTTTTATTAAACTTTCTGTACAGGATGAATCTCACTTTTTGAAATCAACAAAGTCAGCACGCACACAGGCTGCAGGCAATTTGCTAGAAAGCGCCAAACGTGTCATAATGCTGAGTGGTACTCCTGCTCTCTCAAGACCTGTTGAGTTATACCCACAGATATCTGCCATTCAACCAAAATTGTTTCCTAGGTAAATGCAGTTGGTTTTGATTGGTTTGTTAAATTTTTGGGTTATTTAACAACAGTTTTATCATCTTATATTATAGCTTTAATTGGTTGCATGATTACAAGTGATTAATTGGGAAGGATTCATAGAGTAATGTTTGTTTCTTGCTGAAACAAATGCTTACACACACATTGACAACATGTGCATAATGAATTGCTATTTTAACACTTTAAAGCATAATGGCAAGTCTATGTACCACATGCTTTAATGGTCATAAACACTGAATTTTGAACTTACAGGTTTTGTTTGATTGTCAGTGTAAACAGGGATATTTTTTTAAACAGATTAAACAAGTTTATCTTTGTAATGGTGAAGTGTGGTGATTTCTTTGTGGTACAAACTGAATTATTAAATTTTGTTCATGTGGTCATTGGTTTTAACGGTTAAACATATCAGTTATTCTTTTGAGGAAATTGGTATATCTATCTAAGTTGCTTAGTTAAAATGGAATAAAATTTTGTCTGTTTCAAGTGAATTACTTTGAAAAAAACATGAATGTATCAACGTATTGCACTTTATCATCAAATCATTATTGTCTTTTATAAAACATTTTTTATTTCAGGTACTTTGAATTTGGTGTCCGATATTGTGCTGGAGTAAAGAACAGTTTTGGTTGGGATTTCAAAGGCTCATCAAATATGAAAGAACTTAAACTTATTCTGGAGAATCATCTTATGATTCGCAGACTCAAGTCAGATGTTATTTCGCAGCTGCCACCTAAAGTGAGGTTTGTATGAGATTTGAGACATATTAATTGGTGTATGATATATAGCTTTCACAGCTACTACAGGCAACCCTTGATTTGCGCCGATGCAGAATAACGCCGCTTTTAAAACCAAGTCAAAAAGTGGAAAAAATATATTTTGCTATTACTTATAACGTTTTACAATGTTTCTCTTACTGATTCTTATACTAAATCGTAATTTTTACATGGCTGATTTTGAATAAAAATTATAAGTACAGTCACCTCTGCAATTACGTATGTTTCGTTAACATGAATTTGCTCCAATGAGATTGATGAATCGGTAAAAGCTGTTTGTGAAATGCAAACTTTTGCATATGCAAGTTTGCTCTTATGCAGTTTCATTCCTGGTGCTTTAAACTTTCAAAGGACTAATTTAATCTCTGTGGAGGTACCGGGGTTATTTTTACTACTTGGTTTTCTATAGGTCGGCGTCTTAAATGAATGCAACTATCGCATAACAGCAGAGATGACTGTACACATCAGTCACATGAAAGACTGACAGTATATCGTGGGGACCAATGAATTGCCGATTGTAAGTGTATACAATATAATTTTTAAATTTCCTTTATTATATTTACGTTATTTCAGAACTTTATATTAATGTCATTATATTACTCGTCAATGTTTGGGTGCTGGAATGCATGTCATTGACTTCCCATTGATTTACATTATAAAAAGAGTTTCAATTTACGCAGATTCCATTTATGCTGGTTCATCCAGGAATGCATCCCCGGCGTAAATCGAGGGTTACCTGCAATTTCAATTAAGTTTTCATGGGCAATCATCTGCATCAAGTGATCTTAAAAAACTGACATTTCGAGAACCATCTTGTTCCTCATCATCAGGATCTGATATCTGTGGAGCCCAGGAAGTTGCTGCCAGACTGGGTGGCCGATGGGGCTAGTTGGTACAGTCACGATTCTGAGAATGTTTTTTTATGCACACTTGATACAGCTGATTGCCCATGAAGATTTCATTGAATGTTAATTGACCTCTTTTCCAGATGTATACCAAAAATACATACCTGTATTGTTCATTTTACTTAGGCAAATGGTGATTCTGAACCCAGAAGTTATTGATGTCAAGAGTAAAGAAATGAAGCAGTGTGTTAAGACACTGGACCAGCAGCATTTGACGGGGATAGAAAGGAGAGGAGCTCTGCTCTCCTACTACTGTGCTACAGGAAAAGCTAAACTGAAGGCCATACAGTGAGCAATATTTTTGTACTGCCGTTAACAACTGTGAACTTGCTGAGGCTAATTTTGAGTAGGTTTACTTTGTTATACTGCTGCCTCATATCCTGGACTTTATCTTGTCTGAAGTCTGCATATTTTTCTCTGTCCTACAATAGTTGAATATCAGAATAGTGCTGTGATTCATTGCACAGTTTATAAATTTTTTTGCAACATTTTATGATAAATGTAGGTGTATAATTTATGTAAGGACCTATGAAAATAGTTTGTCATGGAAGATATTGTTCTCTGAATGAGTTATCTGTAAAAGTAAAACATTTTTTCCAGAGAACTGGGTAACCGCTATACAAGGTTAACTGGTAACAAAAGATAGCTTACTTTTTAATTTAAACTACTCGTGTATTTTATTAACTCAGTCTCCATGACACTCACTTCACATTGGCCAGCACAGCTTAATGTGTGATGTGGGTGAGGTAATTACTGATTTTGTCAAGTAGGAAATTGAAAGGTATATGTAATATTTCACACTGGATGTAGTAATATCATTGGCATGAGAGTCCAGTGCCATATTAATCACTAGGCCCCTATAAAGTCCTTAATGTCATGTTTTTAATGCTGTGTAATTGATAATGCACTGTTTAATAAACTAAGAAACTGACATTGTTTTCATTTTCAGGGACTATATTGGTGACATGCTTGACAGTGAGAAGAAGTTCATTTGTTTTGCCCACCATAGAGTTGTTATTGATGGCATTTGTGAAGTAATTAGTGGGAAGAAAAAAGAGTAAGTAGTGGGACTTTCCTGCGCTTATTACAGTTCTCTAAAAATATCGTTCAGAGAACACTGAATACTGATTGGGACTGTATGACGGAAGTAAGTAACAAATTAGTTCTGTATACTGTTAACCAGTCCTTCAGAATTCTCATGCATTGACACATTAGAATTATAATGCTTGTATTTCCTAATGTACCAGTACCTGCTTTTGTAGAGACAGTTTTGTTAATTTTGTAGTAAAGTGGTAGTGTAGAAGGAAGTTTGACAGTTTATGTTCCTCAGACAGGCAAATTGACATGAACTTGTAATACATGTTAATATTACAAAGCTTCATATATTCAAAAAATGTCACCAAAAGTTACTGAGTTGGAATTTTCTAATTTCCACCAACTAATCAGTATCAGGTTATAATACTTCATGCTTCTGCTTTGATTTTGAGAGCTCCTGTGATTGGAGACTATATCATGACTGAAATTTTTAATTGTATTTTTTATTTCTGCCAAGCAAATGGTGAATAAAATAGGGCATGACCACTTTTACATCTTCCAGAATCACTATTCACAATCATTCTTCCATTTGAAATGATAAAGCCTGTGCAGCTGAAAATGTATCATTAGGTAAACCAAGAAACAGACATTATGTACTTAGTTATGTGTGTAAACATCCACAGATACTAAATTAATACTTTATCTTCCTCTGATGATCACATGAGTTTGGTAATTGAGCTGTCATTCAGCTGTTGGCTGACCTCTGTCCATGTTATTATGGCAAATTACAAATCTTCTTTCAAAGTAATTCTGATTCCTTTTGTTATTAGAAGTTTGTGTCTGCTATGTGAATTGTATTTTTATGAAATTGTAATTCTGAATTAACCATTTACTCTTATTTTCAGGATTAATGACCAGTTACCTACTAAGAAAGTGAATTTTGGATTATTACATTACAAGGCTTACAGAACTGTGTTATCTTATCCCAAGAATGTTACTGACTTCAGGTTATGCGTATCTGACATTAACACATTGCGAACTTCATCAATAAAGAAATAGTAACAGAATCTCTTTCTATTAACAGCTGTGCAAACTATAAATTAACATGTTCTAAGATGTGAATTAATTTATCTTTAATTTTTCTTGAACAGGTTTATAAGAATTGATGGCAGAACTGACTCCAACACACGTAAACTCCTTTGTGACAATTTCCAGTTTGAGGATAAGTATGTGGCTGCAGTACTGTCCATCACAGCAGCAAATGCAGGCATCACACTTACTGCTGCTCACTTGGTTGTGTTTGCTGAAATGTACTGGAATCCTGGTGTAAGTTAACTCTTTAATTTTCATCTCAGCATTAAAATAGAAGTTTGCGTAGCATTTGTAAATGAGTTTTGAATCTAAACGTTCATGTATGTGTTTGGCATGGGCTGGGATATCGCCTTGTGTAAATGGCTAGTCTTGGTCTGGATGGGCAGGGTTTTTATTTGGCCACCTCATAATGCTATAAATAGTAACAGTGTGTGAAGTTCATTCTCTGTACACCCATGAACAGTTGAGGTCCTCTTGTGTTTAAGTGTTTTTAAATGAAATTTTTCATTCCTGAATGCACTTTTTTATGTATTTAGATTTTAACCCAAGCTGAAGATCGAGCTCACCGAATTGGTCAAGATGACAGTGTTCTGATTCAGTATTTGGTGGCTAAAGGTACTGCAGATGACCACTTATGGCCCCTAATTCAAGGCAAACTTGATGTTCTGAACAAGGCTGGCCTCAGTAAAGATAACTTCTTGGATACTGAGACTACCGTAGTGAAGGTAATTTACCACAGTTATGTAATTTTATGACTATTTCTAAATTTCAGATTAAGTGGAACTAACTAACTAACTAACTTACTAACTCCATGGAGCAGAATCCATGAGAGACTACTTACTCAGTTGATAAATTTCTGGGTGGCAGTTGTTTGCTGCATTGTTATTTGTGCTCACTGTTCTCATACTATGCACATAACAAAGAAATATTTCTTATGGTAGCACTGAGTAGCATGTGCACATTGTCATACTAACCTCCTTGATGCAAACAATACTTTTTCTTATGTGTTTAAACTTGAGTGTTTGTTTACTTGAAATTTAAGATTTGAAGTGAAATCCTTTTAGATTACAGTGAAACCTCTATCCATCGTTCCCGGAACTATCGTTTTCCCGGATGCATCGTCCGTTTTGTTTGGTCCCGAATACATCCCATATAAAATAATGTTACATTTTCCCGCTTCTATCGTTCCTCGAACTATCGTTTTATCGCATCGATCGTTCAAAAATCTTAGTCCCGGCCCACAATTTTCCCGCAATGATCGTTTCTGAGAATTTAAAATGCTGGGTGTTGAGATAAATTAATACCGAAAGACGCACAATGTTTTTGGAATACACAGTAGCGGTAACCTGTTATGTCGCCCAACCAGCACATTCTTTTGGAATGAGGGTCAGCGGTGCAGGGGTGATAGTTGGAGTGAATGGCGGTGC